ATATTATAATTATTATTTCAATTATATTATTATTATTATTTGTATATTGTAGCGCACAAACAAATTATAAATTATGTATATACCCCTTCCCAAAAAACTGAATTACATTATTAACGAAAGCAGATCATCGTGTCTCATTATTTTCATACAACAATTTAATCCTTTTTTTAATTAAATATAAGTAAGTTAGAAAATTAATTTAAACAAAGAAAGTCATATAATACATATGATGTACTACTCTATATAACAAAAAAATTAAGAAAAGTTAAGTCTTTTATTGTTAATTTTCTTTTTTCTTTTCCTTCTTTTTCTTTCTCGCTTTTTCTTCTTTCTGAAATTTACTTAAAAAATTCTATGAAAGCAACTTCAACTCTATACTGCAATAGATCGAAACAAAATGTAATTTAACATAAAGAATATCTTTGATATTTTTTTGTTCTAAAAGATTTTTATATTTAATGTCTGAATTTTTCGAGCGGTTGGATTTATATTTCAAAAATAGATTTTGTTTTATATAATCGTGAGAATCGAATATAATTTTGCGATCACTTGTGATGACGGATAATGAAAATGAGACAACAGCCGGAACAGAGGACGAATTTGAACATGTAAGATTAAATAAAGGGTTGAAAAAGACGATTCTCTCTCTCTCTCTCTCTCTCTCTCTCTCCCCCCCCCTTTTCCCTCTCTCCCTATCTCCCCCTCTTTCTCTTTACTTAATCTTTTTTAATATAAAAAATATAAATATGATATGACACATCCTTATAGATTTATTTCAAGGTTATTCTATTACAGTCTGGAGTGATGTTTCCGCAATTACAAGAACTTGAGAAAAGGTTCTTCGAAATTGTCGACGACGGAAGTGTTACTGAAGCTCGATTATTCTTGAAGCAACATCCGGATTTCAATATAAATGCCATCAATTTTCAAGTAAGTACGTAAATTTGTAATTTTCCAAATTTGAAGAAGTATAAAATATTAATATCAAAAAAAGATTACTGTATAAAGGTTATGGATTATTCAATAAATTGAGGAAATACATTTGTGTGGAATCAAAAGTCTACGAAGTTATTTCCTGATTTGCAATTAATCACTAAAATTATCAACAATGATTGCAAATATTTGCAAAAGAAGCAAATGAAGCAAGTAAATACGTTATTATTTGTAAATACCGTTGGTGATCTAAAATGTTTAATTACATCATGGTGGAATGAGTTTTCCATAAATTATTAGCCATCAGACTCCGTCTATTTTCTATTTGATTTGTTGGACTACCCATAAAGCCATACAAATGGCGGCTTCACCAAACTCTTGAACAGCTCATAAAGATTTCCAAATTTATCTTTTTTGTCACTGACTCCGTGATTTAAACGATACCGTCACTTATGTTAGGGTTCACCGAAAAGACACTGCGCGTCAAAGGGAGATAGGTTTTTCGCAGGTTTGTCGATGTTCAGGTTACCTTTGTCATCTTTAAATCTTTTCTTTAAGATCGCCTGATGCAATTTAAAATGGTCTACCGTTTTACTTGTTCTTTAATGCTCAGCAAAGAGAGAATAAAAAAAAAATGGATTACAAATAAGGAATTAGTTTATCACTTACTCTAATAGTAATTTACGTTATTGAAAGATATTAATGCATAATTTTTGATTTAAAAAAAATTAATTTTTATTTAAAAAATCGAAGTTTTATATATAACATAAAATTTTTTATATAATCTAAAAATATTTATTTATATATCTTAAAGAGCGAATCCAACAGTTTTAAAGTCTTTTACAAACTCGTGTGGTTTACTCCGTGCAAGAAACGGCGGAACCAATACAGGAAGAAGGGAGACAAAACGAAGAGAATGAAGGCGATGTGAAGTCCAGTTATCTCAGATCTTTACCCTATAGAGAAACACGTACCCCCCGTGGAATGTTTCCTCCATCCATTCGGTCAGCACGGTAACCATCTCAGTGTGCTTCTCTCTCTTTCTCTCTCCGTCTCTTTGAGAGGGTTTCAGAAAAGCGACCAAACTCTCGTTTGACTTTGAGACCGAAATGCCGAAGCGGCACGAAGAGAGACGGCACGCGAATGGAAGGAGAGGAGAGAAAGAGAGCGGGGGAAGAGGAAGAAGGCAGAAGAGGGAACTCGACGAGAGAAAGAGAGAAGTACATAGAGAGGAGGAAGCTGGGTGTTCTCCATGTATCTTCAGCTATATTTCAGACCGTCTTTTTACAAGACAATGGTTTCAACTGAGACCTGATAAAAATTATTCAAATGACTTGCCTCGCTATAAATTCTATATGGGAATTCTCTTAACATTGGAAGCTCTACTTGTGTGTCTTGCCGTGATCTATGATACATCGATAAACTTCACGAATTTCGCCAATTTGTCCCATTATTGTCTGATAGAACATTTAAGTCCCCTTAAACTTTTTTTCTTTTTTATAAAACAGAAACGTAATGCATAAAAAAGGTATATAAAAAAGTATATAAAGTTAAAGCATCCGTAAAAGGATTACCACACGTTAAACCAATAGAACACACCTCAATCATGCTGCCAAGTGTTTTTGCTTACGATTTATCCTTTACAAAAGAAAAATTGCAAAAACAAATGACAAACAAATATTTAGCAGGGCGTAAAATCTGGCCGAGTCATGCATTAAAGGCGGCAGCTGTCTATTGTTAAGGGACAGCTAACAAGAACTTTTTGGCGAACATATATCACGATCTGTTATTGTCGTTAGGCGTGTGGATGTACACGGATATTCCCAGGGGCCTGTCGAAAAGCCAAAATATCAGTGAATATTATTGTGACTAGTGTCGGCGACAACAATGGTGCTGGCCCATTGTTGGGGTCTGCCTCTGTAAACGCACCGCAGATGGGCGAGAAACGTCGTCGGGCCATTCTTCCTACAAAAAGGGACACAACCGAGAAAAAGAGTGGAGCTGATAGCCTTCTAAAAGTCGATCTCACTACAGGAAGAGACCCCGTGGCAAGAAAGAATTTCGAGAAAGTCCAGAAATTTTTCGATCATTCAACCATCATGGCATACCGCTTTACGTTTTCTTATGCAAATCGTTATTTCTGCTACTTTAATTATCGATAATTATATAAGTAGCGAGACAATAGAAACGGAAAGAAAAAATAGTTTTGGAGAATCACCCATTGCGTTTCACTTTACTTCTCTTTACTCCCAATTTTCTTTTCTAATTTATAAATAATCAAACTTCCTTCATCAGTTAATAAAATTAAAGCTTTCGAGTACTTAGCCATATTGAATCGTGACGTCGTAAGTGAGAAATGACGCGTTAATTTTTCTTGCCATTTGTAAAGGAAGACAATTTGGACAAAACGTAATAAGAACGGAATGAGAACGCTGTTAAACACTTATAGAAATGGGTCGAGACCATCCTAATCCCATCTGACTTATATTTACTGACTGACAGTCAGTAGGTAAATAATCGAAAAAGTCGTGAAGTGAAAATAGGCTACGCATGCGCATTGAGTAAAAACTAGTAAATGCACTTTATTAACTAATCAAAGGGGATAATGATAGTCTCGGCCTATCTTTACAAGTGTTTTACAGCAATCTCGTTATTTCATTTTATTCAAATTGTCTTTATTTATAAATGATATGCAAAAAATCAACATGTCGCTTAGGACATTTCTCGTTTATGACGTCACGATTCAATATGGATGTTGAGTACTCAGAAGCCTTAATTGAATGTCTCATTTTCAGGGTGTGAGTGCGCTGCATATTGCTGTTAGCGACAGAAATACGGCGATGGTTGAATATCTGTTGTCTCATCCAGATATCGATCCGGGCGACACGCACCTACATGCAATCAGAGATAATCAAGTGAGGATCGCTGTGCTGATATTGAATAAGCTGAATGAATTGACACCGGGTCTCGAATACGCTGGTGTCACTCATAGCCCCGATTTCCCGGATGATACAACACCGCTCGCGGTGGCGGCACAATACGGGCGTTTCGAGATGATTGATATACTCAGATTCCGACGTCACATTCTGCAGAAACCACATCCGCCTAGTTGCAACTGCGACGAGGTTTGCAAGTACGATACCGTTTATATACCGAGCCGTTTGAAGATAACATTCGCAGCTTTAATTTATAAATGTGTTCATTCGAGTCACGACTAGTTGAAAATATCGCGATTGAATAACTTATTAAATAATGTGTGTGATTTTCATTAAATATTTCATAAATTATTAATTTATTTCGCAGACCGGAAAGGGAAAAGGTTGATATCGTGACTTTAGAAAAAATGAGATTGTTTATATACAGCGCAATATCGAATCCAATATATCTTTGTCAAACCGAAGAAGATCCCATCTTAAAAGCTTTTCAATTATCGGCCGAGCTTAGTAAGGAAGCTTCATTCGATAAAGAATTCTATCCTGATTATAAAGCATTGTCCAATGTTAGTGAAATCTTATTCCTTATTCAAATTTATTGAATATTAATAATTATTAGCAAAATTATTCATTTAATTAAATAAGGAAGACAAATATACAGAAGAATGATAAATTATCTATTATTAATATATTTCGATGATATCTGCGATAAATCAAGATATTATATGTTGCTTATAAAAAGTTAATAATTCACTTAGTTTTATGATAAAGGAGGTGTCTCAATTCGCCACAGAGTTGATCGATTGCGCTCGTACCGCCGAAGAAGTTCGATGTATATTAAAACAAATCACTGGTTTTGGTCGTACCTCTAGTTTCGAATATCCCCGATTATTACTAGCTTTGGATTACGAGCAGAAAACCTTTGTGGCTCATCCGAATGTACAACAGGTGATAATCGAT